ACCCTTCATCTTCATCATGCCTTCTAACTATGATCTGGGAGTGCACTATGGTTCCTGCGAAAGCGAAACCAACGAAAGAGAAAACTTTAACCTTTTTGCTTTTAAATCAAACATAACCAAGGGAAGAAGTGAACAGAAAAGAGTTGTGCATCTTAATGGTTCTTGGGGGAGCAAAGTGAGCGACCGCACAAAGCCCCACTTTGAAGGCGCCTCATATTAAATATTAATTTACATTAATATGTTGTTATAGCTTAGTAATGATATTAATTTAATAACATTAATATTCACTTTTCATTTGTCTTTCAGTACAAATTAAGAAAAATTAGGCTCCATAATAAATATTATTTTATTGATGTGAGCTTATTATATCTATTACTTTGGCTTCTCCTATATTAATAGAATAAAATTAATGTTGATTTTCCTATTCCTATTTAATATTGATTTTCATGTTGCCCAACATAAGAGACCTCCACTATACAACTTTGTATGCAATTTTTTTTTTTTTTTTTCAAGTTTCACCCTTCAACCACTCAACTCTCTCTCTCTCTCTCTCTCTCTCTATCAAATTCTCATATTTTGTATATTATTGTTTTTTTTATTGGTTATTGATAATTAGTAATTTGATGATCACAAGACTTTGATTCTTTTTTATAATTGTTCATGGAAGATTTTATTTTAGGAGGCCCTCTTGTTGTTTTGACACAAGGCCCCTAAAATCTCAAAGTCGCCATTGCTGGTTGCTTGCATGCACAATTCTTCCATTTTATTGTGTTTGTTTAATATAAAGTAAAAGGCATAAAATGGTAAAACATTCAAAAATCCAAAAAAAATACCTTTGATTAACGAAAGTGCTAAAAGCCTGCAAATTAATATAATAGGAGTAAAATAATAAAACACTAATTTGATCAATTATAAAATAAATTCTACATAAGTAATTAAATGGAGAAAGTATGGTTTTTTATTTATTTATAAAAAAATTTCATGTCTTCTCTCTTGCTCAAATTGTTTAAGATTTATAAACAATTTTCAAGTTTTATTCCAAACAAGTTTTTAAATCTTAAAAATGAATTTTAAAACTCCTTGTTTTTAAGAAAAATATAAACTTTTGAGTTCTCCACTTGGGTAGGATACCAAACGCCGTCTTACTTCTCATTTTTTCTTTCATTGCCTTTGTTGTTTGTTTGTAGAAATTGGGACAAAGCTACCATATTAAATTTTGGGAAATAGCACTTAATGCCACCATTTTTTTAATTTTAACTGGAAATACCATATTTTCCCATAAATTTTGCAAATATCACTGATAAATATATATTTATTGCCCACTTATCAGTCATATAACATTTTTTATCAGTTTTTGGTTTCTCTCTCAGCTCTCTCTCTCAACTCTATCTCATAGTTCTCTCTCTCTCTCTCTCTCTCTCTCTCTCTCTCTCTCTCTCTCTCTCCTCCCATCTAGCTAACTACACCTCTTCCCATGAAGAAGAAGATCAAGAACAATCTACAAAACCCACAGTTTTGCCCTCGAAACCCAGTTCTTCCTCTTCTTCTTTGTTTTTTCCTATACCCAAATCCAAACCCCAACTCCGTCTCTCTTCGAATCCCTTCTGTAACCTAAACAAACCCAAACAAAACCATTTTTTCTGAATATGACAGCATGTCTTGGCATTAGGTGGCCATTGTTTGAGCATTTTGGTCCAATTTTGAGGGGTTTTGAAGTTAGGGTTTATACGCACAGGATTCGGCGCATATTCCAAAGTGGAATTTGGGTGGGTCCTGTCATCTATTCCCACTTTATAATCTACATGACATTATAATGGAGTGGAAACAACTATGGATATCGTCAAAATTAACCATTCTTACATTGTCGTCTTGTATGTTTCAAAACTATCGTATACGTGACTGCCGTACGTTGCTCAAGATCCCAAAGTCTTCAAGTAAATTGAACTAAAATTTCATTTAATGGTATCAAAATAATTACATGGTCTCGTATTCAATACATGTTTTTTATTTCACGTAATCTTAAAAAATGACCAAGTATCTCAAGAATTAACAAATTGAAAACAAAAATCTCCTATTTAATTGTTGAATTTACATGAAGCATCATCCTTTGTACTCTTTCTGCTCAAGCCAAACCAACCAAAACAAACCCAATAATATGAAATGAAACCAAGCAAGGCCCCAAGTTAAATTCACAACCTGCAAACATAACCAAAACTGAACCATGCTTAAATTTACAACTAGAACATAAAACCTCCAGTATAGATTCTTTTAGTTCACAAATATAATCTCCATATCAAAATGAAGTTAATAATGAAAAAAAATATATTAAGAGGGAAGAGAGTTTGCTATTATTAAGAGTGAATTTAAGTGTTTACCACAAAGCAATAAAATGGCAATGAATGACAACAAATAGGCAATAAAATGGAAATTAACAAGTAATAAAAAACGATTTTCAATTTCAAAGGCCCAAATAATTTCCACTTCTCAAACAACTTAAGAAGATGACTATTGCATGCTACTAAGTACAAGCTAACTGCAAGCAATGAGTTCACATACAGCTCATGTCATAAGGCTCCACAAGAAGAATACATAATGTCTTAGATGTCCTTACAAATTACTAATTCTTGGGGCCTAATAATAACAAGCATAAGCCAAACTTATTTGCTAGTTCTCCTCAAAAGTCATGATCCAAAATTCACTAGCTAACTAGTCTCTCCAATCTACCAAAATATTTCATTCATTTATAAAATAGAAGATACTTGATAAAACAAACCAAAAAACATGAAGCTCTCGAAGGCAAATATTTCATTCATTGATAGAATCTAAGATATTTAATGAGTATACTTCCATACAAAAGTCATCAATTATTTTCATCAAATGCAAAATGGCATGTCAACCATTGTGCTTTCACCCCAAAAATTTGCTAATTTGAAGCACAATGACATCTTTCTAGATATACACTTTAGCTATGTTCAACTATATGTCTGTTATGTATAAGCTTTTCATAATTTCTTATCATTAAAAAACTGTTGCTAGTATTGAACTCAAGACAGCAATGAAAATATTTTGAGGCAGTTTGAATACGTACAACAGAGCAAACTATCACAATTGAAGAATACCTCTTACCCAAGATGTGTGACATAGATACACTGCTGGCATACAAGACTTTTCAAATTTTAGATAGCCAAAGTTCAACTGCAAAAGTAGTAAACTGACATACATTAAGTCTAGATCTTGCATATCAGAAAACACTCACCAAGAGTACCTAGTCTTTTAGATTACAAAAACAGAGTTCTTTTTCTCCAAATAAAAATATCTTAAAACAAAGGAAAGAAGAAAATGGAGTAATAATTTCACAGTAATCTTTTAAAGAAACAATGAGATTGACAATGATTATGGTTTCAAAACAATACCAAGCATTAAATTAACACATAAATGTTGAGAAAAATACGAAGAGCAGAGAGAGAGAGATCGTAAATAATATTTCAATCAAGAATAATCTCAACTCCTGCACAAATAACAAGCAGATAAATAAAAATGATATCAACATATATTCCTATTAAATTACAGTAACATATCAATAAAACACCAACAACAACAAAAATCAATGTAACAGAAATACCATAGCAATACAAAAACAATACCACTACAATACAACCGCAATAAAACCACAATACAATTGCAATAGCAAATCAACAATGCTACCTCACTATGGCATAATCATAACAAGTTCATAGAAAATCCCAATACCAAATCCAAGAATCAATTGACAAAGAACAAACACATTTGTTGTTTCAGACAAACAAAATCAATCCCAATACTTCACTTTCTACACAAAATACAGACAAAATCAATCACAATTCCAATTTAAGTAATCAAATTCAATTTAACATCAAAACTTACATATTCACAACAATTCATTTTCTGGTGAAGCTGTTCCTGAAGAGGCATGTAAACCCTGATTTCAAAACCCTCCAAAATTGGACCAAAATGCTCAAACAATGGCCACTTAATGCCAAGACATGTTGTCCTATTAAGAAAAGATGGTTTAGTTTGGGTTTGTTTTGGTTGCAGAATGGATCGGAGAGAGACGAAGTTGGGGTTTGGATTTGGTAGAGAAGAAAACAGAGAGGAAGAGGAAGAACCGGGTTTTGAGGGCAAAGCTGTGGGTTTTGTAGGTTGTTCTTGATCTTCTTCTTCGTGTGAAGAGGCGTAGTTAGCTAGATGGAGAGAGAGAGAGAGAGAGAGAGAGAGAGAGAGAACTATGAGATAGAGTTGAAAGAGAGTGCTGAGAGAGAAACCAAAAACTGATCAAAAGTGTTATTTAGCCGATATGGGAAAAGGTGGTATTTCTTATTAAAATTAAAAAATTGGTGGCATTAAAGACTATTTCCCTTAAATTTTTGCCTTTGTTCTTTGTTCTTCGCTAGTGGTGGTGGGAATGGTAGATTTGAGTACCGAGTGGTAATGGGAGTAAGTGCTAGTTTGGCATTGCTTATTTGGGGTGATAAGTGATTTTTAAAAAATTTTGAGAAGCCCAACCCGTTTGGTAAACTGTGAGAAAATCACTTATTGTTAAAAATTGATGTGAAAGAAAGCTAAAAGGGAAAGCAGCTAATGAAGTGCTTTCATTTTCTGATCATGCAGGAATCAATTTTAAAGAGGCGCTGGGTTTAATGATTATGCGACAATCATTTTCTAATTATGCGTAAAATCAATACCAACACTTTTAACAAAAATACCAAATGCCAAACTGCTTTATTTCACAACTAATTTCTCTCACAGAAAATCTGGCAGCGATTATTTTCACAGCATAACAATGTCAAACTGGCCTTAAGAGTGGTTGAACTAGTGTGGTTGATGGGGTTGGACTTAAAATGACCATATTACCCGTAAATGACCAACACTGCTGTCGAAAGTGGGGTGAAGGGACTACAACCACCATTTTTCGAAATCGAAGATTTTTTCGTTTTTACTTTCAAGAAATCCAAAGATTTTTCTTTCAGAAACCCATTAATGTACTTTATTCGGTTTGAACACTAAACAAGATGGGAGATTATCCAAATTAAAAAGTCTGCTATCAGCTTTCAATAGCGGCAAACCATATAGCATTATTACAACACCACAATCTAATTACCCATATACAGAAGACACCAGAAAATGCCAAATATTTACATTACAAAGAAGGTTAATTCAGAAGTAGCCCTCAAGACACAACAGCAACTAAGTCATTTGAAGCATGAATGAGGTGGCAGCGAATTAGACATGAATGAAACCATCTGCACTCTGCCGAACTCTCAATGTCAGATATATCAAAACCAATGTCCCCAAACTCGACCTGGAAAACAGAAATTGATGATTGTCATTCATAGAAAAACGATCGAGAAGAAAAGGAAAACCAAATTTCCTGGGTTTACAACATATATTACGACCATAAATGTAGGCATATCAGTATCTGTACATGCAGTTTCAACAAAAGCATCATGACCCTTAAAAATGAAGCACACCTTTCTTTAACCATTGGAATTCAGGTTTGTTTACTTGTTTTGGAACAAAAATAAAGCAATTGCCATTTGTGGAACGGATGATCTAGTTTCCAGACCACAAAGCACAATTTGTACAATTGTAGTAAAGCAGTAGAATAACCAAACACACTAAAAATATCAAACAAGAATGCCAAGTTCTGTCGACATGACTCAACCAAACTTAAAAATACATGGAATGACTAAATCTTGTTACAAAGTACTAATATCCTCCAGCGTCAAATACGAAGATGAAGCATTAGACTAAAATGAACATCATCTCAACTACTGGAGATGTATCATGTGATTACCATACTTTATGCACGTCTTCCTTTGCAACCTACCTCTTTTCCATAACTTTCTGCAGTTTCCCATTCTAGTTCACATCTAATGTCCTGTTTTGCTCCTTTTTTTGGTTCTGTGGTAAGTAACCTACTTAGTACCAAGCCAAAGAAAAGGTGACAACCAACACAAAGCTGAATGCAAAAGATTATAAACCAAAGGAAAGAATAAAACCTGACCGAAAAAAGAAACAAGTTAAAGAAGCTCTGCTATTCCACTTAAATAGCAAGCACCAAAAGATGCAAAGAGGGAAAACTTTCCGCTAGTCTTTTTACCGCCTCTTCACGCAGGCAACAGGCCAACTCCAAACCACATCAGTATTAGAGCTAGAACACCTAACTACTGTCATGCAAAAGATGAAGGTCCATAAGTCCAGGTATAGGACAGTAGACAAAAGAAGGGCCACAGAATCTGTTGGTGCATTACACAGAGAGCACCAATTAGCAAGCACTTGACCCAGAAGAATCAGATTTTCTGTAGCTAAAATTTTGGGTAAATCAGGAACCTGGTTCTAGTATTCTGGATTTTATTGCGTGCTGCACAACAATCCCACTGTAATATACCATCCCTAATTTAATTGGTTGATCATGAATTTTACTAGCAATTTCCACACCATCCTACTGATACTGACTACCCATATCTCTCAGATTCATCCGAAAAACTGCAATCGTGTTTTGTCCCTACATCCCATCTTTTGCACAATTTTTGAAATTTGAAGCTCAACATCAAAAGCAGACACTGCACAAAAACAGGAGGTAAAAAAACAACAGTATATTGACTCTTTCAACCAAATATTGACCAGTAATCTTCACCATACCATCATGGCTTCACTCACAAAACCTTATCTTCCTCTATTTCTAGCAATTCTCCTGCTCACTGAATTATAAATGGCACAGGTTCAGCTTTACATTTTTAATGGTAAGCATCCTGTTTCTGATGCCAAGCTTTTTCATAATTGGCTGCCATGTAGTCCCTTTCTGCTTTCTAGGCACCAAACTTGGTACAAAGAACTAGAGACACTGAACAGGTTATGCAGAATTCCCAAATGAAGGACATGAAGTTTTGACAGTGTATGCAGCTGGTGATGTAATCGTGTTCAGGGGCCGAGCCACATTCAGGCCAAAGGTGAATACTTTGGCTTCTCTTTTCAGTTTTCCAAAAGTTTTTCTGATACATTTGTTTGTCTTTCTTACTAGATTATTGATATTCTTGAAAAAATAAAAATAAAAAAGAATAGTACCCCAAATTGATTTTCCAAAGAAACCAATAACTAGTCAAATAGGTTTAAATTAATTTTAAGATTAATCTAAACATGACACTTAGAAAGAATTAAGACCCAGTATGTTGAATCTTGATACTTAGTGACTATAAGATGAATCTACGAGACCTGAGATTAATTGTTGGTGAATCATTAGAGTCTTAAGTTATGTCATGATAAGATTCAATAGTTGAGATTAATTGTTGCTGCATTATGATACTTAGTGACTGCACACTATACCCTATGTGAAGAACGAAGACCTGAACATTAAGCATGATACTTAGAATGGAATCTGAGCACTCAACAAACTATTTTAATTTGAAATATTTGAAAACTTTAATATTCACATCAATTAAACTCTATGACAAAAAGCCACCATTCTCCATCCTACTGTTGTTCATGACAGTTACAAAGTGTCAGATCAAATCAAGTACTAACTTGAGACTAACGATTTCTACTGAAAGTGTGTCAATGTAAAACATTAAAGTTTAGAATTCACATCAATCCAACTAAAACATTATATGTCATTGTTCCTCATCCAATTGTTGGTCATGATAATCACAGTTTGTCTGATCAAGTCAATTTCTTGTTTAAAAAGTCCCATGACATAAAATCCATAGTATTCTGGAAGAAAGATTTCACAATTGTAAAAAAAAATATATATATATTTAGTAGCAGCTTGTTTATTTTACTACTTACAAGATTGAAAACAGGAAAACGACTTTTCTGGAATCAAATGAGGCAGTGCGTTTGCATCTTCTCCACCGGTTGTTTGGTGTTTCATGAACTTTCTCAGGCACTGGGTTATCTGTTGAAAATATGAGAATCAAATCAACTTCTCATTTACTGTGTAGAAAAGTGTAAAAATATTAGTGAGAGAGACTTATGTGGACAAGTCATCCATCTCTTAGATAAAAGTGAGAGAGCCTCAAAGTAATGCTACTAGAAAAATTTATTATATTTATGCAATATGCATCTTAAGCAGAAAACCCCGGAAGATTCAACATATTGTGGTCTTAGAGAAGATAAATAATAAATAAAAGGATAACATAGAGTCCAGATTTTTTCTTTCCTTTTTTCTGGTCAGACCTTCTAGGTTTTCTATCTTAAAGTTCAGGTCAAATACTTTTAAAGGTAGAAGAATGCTGTTGAAACGGAGAATGAGAATAGTTTAAAGTTCACTCAGGATTGAACTCATTACTGAGTCATTATGGCTCCAGTTGGGCTAAAATAAGTCCCAAATCTCTTTGGAACAAACAGGCATCCCACAAGGAACATCGAAACTTGGTACAAGAATCTGTACGTTACGAATTATCACCAGGATTATCATTATATTCTTTTTGGTTGCAAAGTAGTACAGAAAAATAATGACTCAAACAGCATAATAATTTAGAAACAAACAGAACAAATCTTACGTACCTCTTGAAGTGCCATGGTTGAATAGAAGATGCATAAGTTTCCCACCTACTTTTAGGCTTGCCTGTCTGCGAAACACCCTCTGAAAGTGTTGTAACCCACTGATATTAAAATTAGAAATAGCAGAAAACAGAAAATGTCGAAAGTGATGGAAATTAATGTATGCAAAGAAATTTTTGGAACATCTCTAGTTTGCAGTTTATTCTAGATAAATAAAGGATAAACCATTAAAAGATGACCACTTGTAACTTACAGTGAGTAAACCCTCACGTTTCAAACTTTCGATAGCTTCCTCTTCAGATTCTGGTGCTTGAATACATCCCTTCTCAAGATCTATTTCAATGATGCATGGGGGATGAGAATCTGCCATGTTTGCTTGTGAATCAATGCCGTTCTGGCAACTCGACTGAGCATCCGTGCACATCTGACTTTTAGATGAATTATAAACTTTTAAAAAGTTCAAATAGCCCAATACTGAAGCACATCGTAAACTGTTGCCTTCTTCGGGCAACATTGAAATGCTATAGACATCTGGGGCCTGCACAACAGAAGACTTCAAAATGCTGTGAACTTGAAACAAAAAGTCTTACTTGAAACCACATCACTGATGTTTTGTTAACTTTACTTAAACAGATTCCTTGACTCAATGATAACCAAAATGGGTCTACAGTAGGAGCCAATAGTTATAACTGAAAGATTAATGGAGAATCCATAAAAAAAAATTGACTTTATTAATGTATCCAGGTGAGTTAAGACAAAAGGTCCTATCCAGGTGTAAGATGAAAACGTCAATTAGTCATACACATAGATATGTATCCTCTTTTGTTGAATAAATGAAAGCCAGACCGAATTCAATGTCAAATTGTACACACGTTTTCGATTTCTTATGTAAATTATTAGACAAAGTCATACAGCAGTAGGTGTATTTATGCGCACAAAATATATGCATATGTAGAAAGCTTATAAGGAGGCCTTCAATGTGGTCTAATAATCCAAATCATCCATTTGTTAAATCCCTATTCAAGGAACCCCTTACAAAAAAATAAAATAAAATAAAATAATAATAACCAAACCAGGAACCATTAAGTCATCTAAATATGATCAAACAAATAGACACCCAATGTGTTCCAGATAAACACTGAACATGATAGTTAAATGGTCAAACTTTTACCCGTTACTAATTTTTTCCATGGACTCCCTAATTAATGATCCAAAATTTAGATGGTTCAGATTATTGGACCACATTCAGGGATGGACCCAACGATGCTATCCTGTGTACTTCTTAGAAAACGGGATCCCACTAGAAAGGACTAGTGTATATAGGTGTGAAATTATGTATGTATTCCGTGTTTAAGCATTAAATTTGCAATCAAAACAGCAGAACTTCCACACACACAAAAATAAGCCTAAAATTATTCCAGCACAGTATTAAATATTAGAAGGTGGAAACTTACATGTGAGCTGTGAAAGGGACATTTCAGCTTTGCTGGAAGTGGAGCCTTCTCTAAAAGAAGAGGCAAAATATCTGGAATGAAATGCCATTATAAATATTGGAGCTAACAGAGCTTACATGAACTAATTATCTACAATTATCTTTTTTTCTTTAGCACAAAGGGGGGAGAGAGAGAGAGAGAGAGAGAGAGAGAGAGAGAGAGAGAGAGATACCAAGAGAGCAATGCCGGTCGACTTCATCAATAGTTTGCTTTAGCAATTTAAAATTTGAACAGCTAACAGGTATGCTGCAACTTTGATCCACACTTCCCTGGATGTAAGGTTTTCCCGGCTAGTAATGTATGTGTTAGATTCATGCATGCATAAAACTGTAAACTGGAACAAGACCACTTCTATATGATGATTTAAAGAACCAAGAGAATTCCAAAAATTCTAAACGAGGACATAAGGTTTTTTTTTTTTTTTTTTTTTTTTTTTTTGGTGGTTGCCTTTTTCCCCTTTGGCCACTGAAGGGTTGAGAAATTTAGACAAGGTTATTGAGAATTGAGGGTATTGAGCCCATAGTAGTCAAACATTCTTCCTTTTCACTGAATACGCAAGGGATACAACATTAAGCACCTGAATCCAATATTTGTGCTCATGTCATTTTGGCAGGCATGCAAGCATTTAACTTCAAAATAATATAGCTAGGAGACTTTTTCCTGAATTATTGATAGGTTAGGTACCTAAAAATAATATAAGACAATCTTAATACTAAACAAAGACGACATTGACTTGCAATTCAAAAGTTGAACAGCCGAATTTCAAGCTCAACAAAAAAATTTAGGAAAGCAGTAAGCAACCTTTGATTAGAAAGGGTACTATCAACGCCATGACTTGTAAAGACTACTCTACTTCTACTAACATTTCTTTTCTCCTTCATTGAAAATAAAACGACTTACTAAATTACATGAAGAAAATACAAAAGCATTATCCATCAGTCCACCAACACTATAATAAAAGTCTCTATCAACCAGCTAGCTATGTCTTGACCAAGAAAGAAAGCTCAACATAAAAATCTCCACCAATCCGCATGAAGAAAGAAGAAGGGTTAAGGGGACATCTCTAAACCTATTCGATAAGGATGCCTACAACGAAGCCCATCAGAAAATCAATGTTGTAATGCAGTTTCAACGAAACCCACTTCATTTCGGAGCCAATCAGCCTTGAATTGAACCATTGTTAGTAAACTGAGAGTCAATGAGCTAGTATTCATGAACCCAACAGATACCAGATTCTGCTGGGTGATGAAAAATTAGAAAGGCTTAGAATTATGCGCTTGATTTTGTAGTGCATCTAAAATTCTAGCGAGATTGTTAGTTGAAAAGACCAATTTTTTACCACCTTCGAAGTTAAATTTCTTAGTAAGAAAAAAAACGTACAGTTTGAAGTTGAACCTAGAAGCAAGTCGAATTGGACAGGAAGAGCATATGTAGTGAGCAAATCTTCAAATTTAAGAGTGTGTAAACTCAAAGACAGTGTAAGCTTCGCAATGCAGAAGAGAAATGAGATTATTCATTTGGAAAAGAGAAAATAAAGTGAAGGGATTTTACCTCGTCGGAGGCATTTACAGCCATTGCAGAGAGATTGTGTTCCAGACCAGAGAGAAGTCAAACACTTTCACAATTTCACAGAGAGAGAGAAGTTAACGTTATAACTTACATCGGATGAAGAGCGCTTTTTTCTCTTTTCTCTTTCTTTTTTCTTTTCTAGCTACTAGTCTTGACATAAAAATATTAGTAAATTCTTATTTGTTATCTAATAAATAAAAGAATTCATTACAGTTTAGTAACTTTGATTACACATTTAAGATATGTTAGTTCATATATTTTTAATTTTTTCAATCATATACTCCATTTTTTAAATAGGAGTTTTACTAAAACACCCAAACTGGGGACTGAAATTATAAAAAAATCTAACACCCAAAACACTTTATAAACACACCCAAAACTCATCATTACACACACTCAAAACCCATTTATAAATACACCCAAAAAATATATAATTGTTGATTTTGGAATTGATTTTAGGTGTGTTTCTATGTTTAAATAGTGTTTGAATTTTTTTATAAATATATGTCTAAGATTGAATTTATTTTTAAATTTGTATTTTTAAATTTATTACAATATAATTCTGCTGTTAGCGTTTCCGTCAGATTTTTCTGTTAGTTGTGCCCTAGGGATCTCACATTTCTCTTTTTTTAATTTTAAATTAATTAAAATTTTAAAATAAAACTCTCTCTCTCCTCTCCCCGATCGATTTCTTCTCCCCCTCTCCTCTACGCTCCCCCCATTCCCATGACCACCAGCTGCCCCCACCCAAGCCAGCAACTACAAAAAAAGAGAAAACAAAAAAATCATCGGCAGAACCCAGAACCCCAGCAACTACAGAAAAGAGAAAGAAAAAAATCATCCATAGACACCCCCCCCCAACGAATCCAACAACCCAGACCCCATCCCCCCGATTTCCCTTTGTTTGAACTCCAGGCTTGGGTGCCGTTGGTGCTTCTGGATCGTTTGGATGCTGCCATTG